CTGCTGCCCTGCACTGCTACTTCTGCACTGCTGCCTCTGTTAGAGGCAGCAGCATGGGATGGGGGAGGCAGGAGGAGCTGCTGGTCAGGGGAGCATAGTGGGCAGGGAGCCTGCCCCAGGATCCTGCTGGGTTGCTGGCTGAGAGCCACCTAGGGTAAGAATTTTCCGGCCAGGGCTTGCACTTAGCACCCACCCTTCTCACATGCCAGCTTCTTGCCCCAGGTCACTAGCTAAACTCTGTGTGCCTCCTTCCACACCACTGCCGCTGGTCACAACTCCCTCCCAGACCCCGTACCACTTCCTACATCCTTCCTCAAGATCAGAATCCTCTCCTGCACCCAAACTGCCTTCCAGACCCTGCACCCTATCTTTCTACACCCAACTTCCATCCCAGACCCTCTCCATAGAAAAGTGCCATCCTTGACCACTTGCTAAAATCTTGGCATGGCCCCACATAAAAAATTATTGCCTACCCCTGCCATATAAGATAAGACTACACCCCAGCTGGGAGGAAACTTCACAGCCTAGATAAACGTAATAGCCCTAGCACGCCTTGAGCTACAAAATAGCAGTCTGATGTCATCACTCCAATGAAAACTCAGGCTAGCTACCAGTTCTTAGACCCAGGGGGTCTGGCAGGCTTGAGAGCCTGATTTTCCAGTTGAAACACAACATCCACACTGATATTTTTAGTGCACTAGCTTAAACCCTACCTCACTCCCAGCTGCAGCGTACACATACTGAAAGGGTCTCATTTTGGGAGTAAATTTGTCTTTGAAAGAAAGGACTACTTTGCACATGAACAACAAGTTCCATTTGAATACTTTAAAACACTGTTACAACATTAAGGCCAGATTTTCACTTGCTGCGCCGAAGATCTATCTTCTAGCATTCAATATAGTGGGTCTAGTTAAGACCAGCTAAATGGAATGCTGAAGGTGGCTGTTGTCAGGGCCAGTACCCTTCGCAGTTGTGAGGAACAAAGGAAATTGACGTTTAGTCCCATTGGCATCCCTCTGTGAAAATGGCGCCAAGCTCGGCTTAAGCTAAGCTGGCTCTAACAACGTATTTCACATAGCTGGTGTTGCATACCTTAACCGGACCTTCCAGGTCTAGTGTAGACCTGACCCTAGGATGCACAATTTACAACACCCAGGTGAGGTATAAGCATTTCTATTGTATTGATGGGAAAGCTGAGTTAAGTAGCTTGGAGTAAATCTAGAATGACCAAGTCCTGGGTTCTAAGCATCTTTATCCAACCTGCCCCAGGGCAGCCTGGCTGTTCCCTAGACCTGTCCTGTCCTGACCCCAGGGGAGGTGGGACTTGAAACCATGACCCTGTCCTCCACACAGGCTGAGTGCCCTCCAGCTACGTGCCCTAGCCCATGTGGGAACTTGCCCCACCACCTTACTGAGGGGAGGCCCTTTATCCCGCACAAACCCACAGTATCCTCCACACAGGCTCTCCTGGGGCAACAGGAACAGTATTGCTACCTACATGTTCCAGAGTAAGGCCCACAAAATCATTTGCCTTAAAAAAAAAAACCCATGATTTTTTAAAAGGTTCCGTGAGCCTCATTTGCCTTCTTGCCTTTAGGGTTCAGTACTCCAGCTTTTCTCACCAAGAGGGCCACAAAGATACTTGGACACATGGCATCCAAACTAAGGATGTTAAGGACTAGTTGACTATCCGATAAGCAAACAGTTGACTAGTTGATTCCCCACCCCTTGCTGCCTCTGTCAGATAGAGGAAGCAAAGGGAGGGAGAAGACGGGTACTTCAAAGCAGCAGCACCACACAGCTGAGGCCGGGATCCACTGTGCAGCACTGCCCCTTTGAACACCACCCTAGTGTTTAAAAGCAGCAGCGCCAGCTGGGCCCCACGCAGCATTTCAAATCAGCCGTGTAACATGGAGCTTGTGGTCAGCGGGGAACTCTGAGTTCCCCGTTGACCCTGGGCTCCATGGGGCCCTTTCACTTTGAAATGCACAAGAGCCTCCGCTGGGGACTTGTACATTTCAAAGCTGGCACATTGCACGAGGGCCCCAGTCAGCAGGACTTCCCACTGGCCTTGGGCCGTAGCGGAGTTCCGCACTCCCTCCGAGGCTCTTGTACATATCAAAGGCACAGCGCGGAAGTGCTCATCCACTAGTCAGTAGAAAGCCCTAACCCGTTACATAACAGCCTCAAGCCGAGTGTCTCCCCAGCTCCCTGCCGGGGCTCCAGAGAGAACATGCAGCCAGGGGCTCAGGGCCGGAAAGGGCAGCAAGGGGGCTGGGCAGGAGCAGGCCAGGCTCGGGGCCCCCTGGGAGACAGGGCACGCGCTGCAGAACTGCGCCAGTGTGTCTGCAGCGGGGAGGCGGGGCTCGATCCCGCCTAGGCCGACAAACCGCGGAAACAAA